TCATCAGTTTTCAACAAATCATACACTTAGTTTCATCTTGATTGCAGTCCCCTCAATGTAACCTCGCTAATCTCACTTCCTCCCTCTGCTTCTTATTTCCATTTCTCCTTCTTTCCCCAACCTTCTGAATGCTGCCCTTTTGGTCTTGAATGGTTAGCTATTGTATGCTTTGCATATCTCACTAATGTTGTTGTCCTCCCTATGTACCTACTTACTGCTTGGCTAAAACATTGAGCCACATGGGTAAGTTCAGTTCCAGACCTGAAGGGTGATGAAGGGCCATAAGCTCAGGGTTCTACCAGCCTCTCTCCAACCAATATGCCTGGTCTTTATTTACGATTTTGAGTTTTGCTTCATATTTTCTCCCACTTTATCTAAGACCTTCTAATGTGATCCATTTCAGAGCAGTTGGTAGTAGTAGCCAGACACCATCTAGTTTTTCTGGTCTCAGAGCCATGAAGACTGATGTTCATGTATTCCATTAGTCAAACTAGACTAATTGTTTCCATGAGTCTTCAATTTTTACCACTGTGAATAGGGAGATATAGATAGTTGTACCTTAGATGGCAGTTCCTGAGTTTTGGGGTTTTTTTTTTTTAATGTTTTATTCTGAATTATGTGATAGTTTACATGGAGAACATTAGTTTTACATTTATCCTATCATATATCGTTTCATAGTTCATGAGTTTTTAAGCTCATAATACATCCCAAAATGGGATGTATTATGCTAGTTGACCATGGTGTCCCCCAAGACTATGGTCCTGAGCCCTCAGCAACTCATTTCTATAAGGTGGCTGATAAGGTATAAGAAAATTTCATAACTTTGTCCCCTATACTCCACCACATTCATGGATATATTAGAAGCAAAGATAGGTTGTTTTTGTTGTTGTTAGGTGCCTATGAGTCAGTACCGACTCATAGCAAACCTACGCCCAGCAGGTCCTGGGCCAACCTTACGATCATTGCTACGCCTGAGTCCATTCTACTGCCACTGTGTCAATCCATCTCATTGGGGGTCTTCTTCTTTTTCTCGGCCCCTCCACCTTACCAAACATGATATCCTTCTCCAGGGACTGGTCCCTCCTGATAATATGTCTGAAGTATGAGAGATGAAGTCTGGCCATCCTGGCTTCCAAGGAGCATTCTGGCTGCACTTCTTCCAACACAGATCTGTTTGTTCTTTTGGCAAGCAATGGTACTTTCAGTATTCTCCTCCAACACCATAACTCAAATGCATCAATTCTTCTATGGTCTTCCTTATTCACTGTCCAACTTTTGCATGCATATGAGGTAACTAAAACTACCATGGCTTGGATCAGACACACCTTAGTCTTCAAGCTGATATCTTTGCTCTTCAACACTTTAAAGAGGTCTTATACAGCAAATTTACCTAATGTAGTATGTCGTTTGATTTCTTGACTGCTGCTTCCACTGAGTGCTGATGGTTGATCTGAGCAAAATGAAGTCTTTGACAACTTCAATCTTTTCTCTATTTATATGGATGTTGTTTATTGGTCCAGTGGTGAGGATTTTTGTTTTCTTTACATTGAGATGCAACCCATACTGAAGGCTGTGCTCTTTGATCTTCATCAATAAG